TACAGGCAAAACAGCTGGTGGCATAAGCGGACACAGCACTCTTCAGAGTTGCTTAGTCTGTTTTAATTAGAGAGAGGCTGCCTGAAAGATGGACAGAGTTCTTGTCTGAGCACTTTTTGCTGCATTTTAAATTTCATTTGTTCTCTTAAAACAAATTTAGAAATAACAGATATGACATACACTTTTAATATAAAATAGAACAATCTGGAGTTCAGTGTAAAATGATTACTGCTTAATAAGCAACTGCGAAAACAGAAACCTGAAGTTCTCAGATGAGTTTGGATTGAAAATAAAATGACAACATTCTGAAAAGATTACTGATTTGTAGGGTTTGCTTTCTCCTGTTTCCAGGGACTTCTACAGACCTTTGTGTTTTAATCTCTGAATATTCATGCATTTAAAAATATTGTGGGGTTTTTATTTTCTTTTAAATCATAAATATTTATTGACAACATTGTGTGCTTTGTATAAAAGCCATATACTACAGATATATGATCGACTATATCCTTTATATTCTGTAGATATAAAATAACATAGGGTTTACCTTAATCAAAGATTTGTCTTGTGTTAGAGAATAAATGGAAATTTTTTTCCTTACACTGTTAGTTCTGGCCAACACTTGATTATATCTTTTTTTAAACTCTTGGTTTCTGGTTGGTGGGGGGTTTTTGTTTGTTTGTTTTTTAAGAATGTTTAGTTGAAAGTAACTTGGGAGGCATGGATTTGAATGTGTTTCTATGCGTGTATTAGAAAGGGGCCGGGATGGGGGGAGCTCAAGAACATGCAAGGTCTGAAAGTGCTGTGCAGCTATGCTAAATTGTTACCATGACACTGAATAATAGTGAGGTGATGAGCTGAATTTCTAATAGCTTTAATGGTGCCGAGCAATCCTTGCCTCCTGCCAATAAAATGCAGAAGTATTCCACAACTAAACTTTTTTTTTTTTTTTTTCCCCCCCCCCTTAAATGCGGCATGGTTGTCCTGCAGCTGAATAAGGTACAGATAAATTGTGCTGAGAAGGAAACTGGGGAGGGCATTATATACTCCTGACTGGGCTCTTCCACTACTGTATATATGGCATCTTTGTTTTAAGCTGTAAGGATTTTCTGAAAAGTAAAGGTAGAATTCAGACTGTATCAAGCCCCATGTGTTTTCCTCAGCTTCTGGAATCCAGACAAAGTGCAGCAGGGGTACACCTCTGAAATGCAGCACACTAGCTTGATTCATCCTTTTTTCTTACCTGGGAATTCGGGCTTATGAAAAGGCTTAAATTAAAATTACATGTATCATTTGGATAACCTGGTAAGAATTCCTGTTCAGTCATAGCCTGCTGTCTTTCTGTCATCTGATCTTCTACCTCTGCCATGCCACTGGCCTGCTGAGTAGCTTATATTGCTTACCTCTAATGGTGAGTTACATGAGGTAAGGAAAAATTGATACAGCATGTTGGGAAGATGAGATGCATGGATAACAATAGAACAGATCTATTACTCCACCACTGACTCAGGTTGCACCTGAAGGGTGAGAAATGCCATCTTGTGTCATCCCTGTCTGATAAAACTTTGTAGTGGCAGCAAGCGTAAAAATAGTTTATCCCTTTTTGGCTCATTTCACTAGATGAGCCAGTGTCTGATTTCAACAGTTAGAAGATGATAGTTTTCGGACTTTCTCTAAGCATTAAATTACAGAGTATGGAACAAACAAATTAACATAATGTTTAAATCTGTTAACCTTTTTCTCAGGTTTTGACTTTGAAGCTCTTATCATAGGTGAAAGCACAGCTACACGGTGTTCATTCACCTAACAAGCAGTTGAGCAATATTCAAGGCACAGCCCAGCTCAGCATAACTAGCTGCATTGGCAGCACAGAGAAACTCTTACTTGAATGCTGGTATTATGTAGCTGCTTTAATCTTTTCAAATTGAGGTTTAATCAGCCTTCTCCACAAAGGATTGATTTCTTATGACAGAATTAGTTTTTAAGACCTAGCATTTAAAAGGGTTGCTGCCCAAACAACCATATTTCCCCCAAGGTTGCATCTCCATAGGAATGTATTGGAAGGGTTTGAACAGGATGGAAAATATGAAAGGTCTTTGTCCTCAGAACTAGAAGTAGTGACTTTGTGTGGCCTGTCACAATGATTCAGACTTGAAAGGCAGTTCCACACTGCCTTTGACATCCCTACCAGGCAACAACAACCATGTTAATTTTGGACAGAAATTTGCAGGCATGACTGAAATTTGCACAAGCTATGTTTGACCTAAAGCTGATTTCAAGAGCATTTTAAGTTCAAGTAACACACTTCATAAGGCTCATGGAAAAGATGTGCTTGCAATATTTATTTGCTTTTATCATTTGGTGGATGCATTTCTTCATGTAGTTTCTCTGAGGTAAAATTAGCTCAGCCTAAGGCTGGGTGTTCTGCCACTGTTCACGGTGATCTCAGCTAGAGTCACACCTTCAGTTTTTGTCCCTAGGGGCAAATAAAGTGGAATCTCATATCTCTCCTTAAAGAAAAGTGTGTATTTGTCTGAAAGGCATGGGTTTAGGTTTTCTCTAAATTAAGTTCTGGAAGAAAAAATTCAGGCTTCACCTGCATTTTCAGAGAACAGAGTTTCATGTGGCTTGCTTACAAGCACCAGCAGAGCATCTTCTGAAACGGCAGCTGCTGCTGCTGCTGCAGGGGTCTCTGTTGGCTGGGAACGGCCAACAGGAGCTGTGGGACCTGCTGCACACTGTGAGAAACTCATGGGCACTTAGAGCATTTTTAGTATTCCAGAAAATCTATTTGACTGTATTTCACTTACCTAAGAAAAACTTAGAGGGGCTGTAGCTGCCTGTTGGACAATTGAAGAAATTACTTTTGTTATGCCCTTAAAAAGATGTCATACAAGCATCCCAGAAGGCAGGTGAATTGTGGTGAGTCACAGAGGGAGGGAGGAAAGGATGGCTGTTGCTGGTGATGTAATGATTAAACGTCTTTAAGATAAATGTCCATATAGAAAAAGTCTAAAAGTTAGATTATCATATTTTGTCTGATGTGGTGTTTAGAGTCAAAGAATCTAAGAGAAATGCTTAAAACAAGACGCCTACCCCCATCTCTGCCCTTCCTTAAGCAATATAATTCACTGTAAATTCCTCAGTGCTTTGGGTGTATTGAAATGGTTGACCTTTTCATGACAGTTTCTCTCCAAGCCTCATTCCTTTTGTTCTTTACAGAGTAAAGGTGAGGGGTGGGAAGGGGATGGAATATTTTTCATTTGTCTTAATTGGAAAATTTTCTTATGCCCACCACACAGATGGAAGGGTTTCAGTCCCAGAAAAAATAGATGCTTGACTGTTGGAGAGAGAAAGACACTTTTTTTTTTTTTTTTTTTAAATTGGAAAAAAATTTGTGTATCTTATTAAAAACCAGAGCTTTGTTACATAACTCCTTATGAATAACTGGTCTTTAGAGAGGCATAAACTGCAGTCCAGAATGATGTAACACTGATTGGTCATAGCTTCTAACAAAAAAAGACCATAGGTCCTGCCCCCACAAGCTTCTTCCACTGACCTGTTGTTTAGGTATTTCCTTATGTTAGATAATTCATAGTTAAAAACTTCACTAAGTTTTTTTCATTAGTCTCCCCAACAACACTACAGTTTTCAGCTCAATAGCTTTGGCTTGTGGCTGTAGTTGAGCAAAGAGGTGATTTCCAGTGGTGAGAGGTGCTGAGGCTTTTGCAGGACCTATGTACAACTATAGTGCTCATTGGCATCATCTTTGGGAGTGTACAGGAAGGCAGCCAAGGAGTGTGAGCTGGAGAAAGCCTTCCCACTCCCTTTCTGTTCTGCTCCTGGGGATGATTTGCCCCTGCATAGAAATGAGGACAGCTAATTCCTTTAGTTTCAACCTACTTATTTTCTTGAGTTATTGTACCTGGATAGGAGAGGCTTGCCAGGCCAGGAATGGTATTGGCTATTACATGTGCAGCACAGTACTAACCCCTTCTGGATTCCACAGCTCCGCAGTAAGCAGTTTCAGAACATTAACTAGAGTGTATTGGCTGCATGTTACCAGGTACCCTGAGTCGCTGCAAAGAGGATGAAGACATCCAATACAAGGAATTTATTAAGGAAGAGGGAGAGCTTTGGTGTGTATTAAAGCAGCAGGAATGAAGCAATGTAGCACACAAGGAATATAGGGAAGGTGCCAAGTACAGAAAATGCAAAGGGTTCCAAGATGTAGTAATAAGAAGTACTGGGAAAGTGTAATGGGGAGAAAGATACTGCAGAAGCGACAGATATTAAATGAAACCATTATAATATATAGAGTATGATATGTAAGAGAAGAATCTGAATTTGATGAGGTGATGTAAAGTGAAAGATTTCTTCAGCAGCTGAATGTATTAACCTGCAGTTAATCCCACTGCAGTGTAGGAAAGTCCAAAGAAAGTTCAGAGAGCCTTTATCAGAGTTGCACAAATAAAAAAACCGCCAAACCAACCCACACTCTCCACTCCCTGTGATGTATGTCAGTCCTTTACAGAAAAAGGCATGTGCAGCACGACTCAGGCACCTCCGGTGGGATATTTGCGTTGGCTGCTGAGAATGGTTATCTCTCATAGGGAAGCAGTTGCAGCCTTCAGACAAAGGGAAGCCTGCTGCACAATGAAAAGGGTTGAACATGAACTGATATGTCACACTAACAAGCAGTGTAAGGATTTTTAGAGCCTAAATAATAGAGTTTGGACTTTTCTGACCAACTGGCAGCAATGGTCTCCTGAGAACATTTAGAGAGTTGCACAGAGATTAATTATAAACGCGCAGCTTGATTTCCAACCATTGCAAAACATCTGCAAGGTATAGATTGCCACTCGTACGTATCGTATTGTGTGAGAGCGTCCTGGAGCTTACAAAAAAACATACTGGAGCCATGAATCAAACTGGGTCATGTGACAGAGGGGAGGTACCGGGCTGGCTCCCAGCCAGTGGCAGGAGCTGATGGGTGGAACAAACGGGGCATAAAAAGACTAATATGACTAACGGATCCTGGATGCGTGGTACCCTTATTTGGATCTACAGGAATGTAGGCTCTAGCAGTTCTGCAGCTCTACCAGCCTTTTGCCTGACACTGGAACTGCTGCTCACAAAGTAGAATCCTGCTGCTGTGTGGTAGGAAGGATAGAGAAAGAACATGGCCTGCATTTTGAAGGTAAATCTCTATCTGTTGCTTGAATGCATTGTTAGAGAGCCCCTCGCTGTTCAGAGGCATGGATTCGGTGTGGTCCTATTGCATCTTCGTTGTCTTTTTGAATACTGGCTTTGTCTGGCAAATGAATATGGAGAGATTCTGCAACGTATAGCTGTGCTCTGCTTCCCTCTGCCATTCTTTTCCTCTTTCCCTGCATTGTCAGAACTGCGAGCTAGCGGGAACTGTGTACCGAATAATAGGAGGGGGTGAGGGGCTCTGGTTTGTTTCAGCTGACTTTGAGCTGAATTCCTTCAGGAGCAATAGCATTCGGGCAACAGACTTCCAGTACAAAGGACAAAACGGGGGAAGTTATTTTTTTTTTTTCCTGACTGTGCAGCATTTACTGCTTTTAAAGCAAAGGTTGCAGATGTACACAGCTGTCCCAGTTGCTCCTTAAGCACACACTCCTCTGCTGAATTTACCCCAAATCCACATGCTCTACACAATTATACTTAGTATCGAATCGCACTTACTAATTAAGTGACATATTTGATGGAGGGATTTTCCCCTTGACGCCAGCAAATATAAACGTAAACTTACCGTGTGATCGTATGCCTTCTTCAACCTGCTTTCCTCACCAAGATAAAAGTCTTTGCAACAAGCATGTCGTGGAGATGGAGGGAGCATCACTAGCACTAAGTATTGAATGAAAGGGGAGGAGGCGGAAGTGCGGTCAGTGGAGAACAAACAGCGTTTGTTTCCTTACAGTGTTGTCACATGCAGGCAGTCACTCGCCTGTGCCTGGTTTGAAAGTGGTTTGTTTCAGGTTCATTTGCTATCTGCCTTGCTCCTTTCTGTGTATATTTTGAAGACATTTGTGCTCTGTTCCTTTTAGTAAATAAAACTGATCTGTGAATGCTTTGGTATTTTCAGCCTGATCTTCTAACAAAGGGTTGATTATCTCAAACTTTGGGATGGCCTCTCATAGCAGTTGCCTTCAGCATATCAGCAAAGCTTCAAAACAGTCCCCAAATAAGAAACGTTCCTGTGTCTCCTTGGAGCTAATTCTTATCGCTTTTTTTGGGTGTTCAACTTCAAAAGCGACTTATTTTGCTGCATTGTTTTTCCCTTTCAATTCATTCTCTACTAGTGGGTCTGTGGTTTATGGATGTTTTTTGAATTTCTTTTGTGAGCATGTAGGTTGTTGCAGCTTATATTAATAAATATGGCAAAGTCTGCCCCAAGTGCAGAAACTTCCCTGAACTAACAAGTTCTGCTTGGAGATAGGTGGTACAAACTCCTTTAGGCAGACAGCACTGACGCAATTGAGAGTTAAGTTGTGACTTAGGATAAGGGATATACGAGCTTCGTGAAAGGTACCTGGCTTCACAATGATAAGCATGTGTACTCCTTTTTTAAACACGCCCTGAATAATTTTGCTTGGATCTGCAAGTGAGCCAGAAGATGGATTTTTTTTTTTATTTTATTTTAAACTGTGTCGAGAGATCACATGCAAAACTGTCCCTAACAGTTAAATAAGAATATCCTTTTACAATAAAACTCCAGTGTCTCTTTCCCCTTCCCAGTTGTTCCCTCTGCACAGTCTGGTGACACAGCCTGCCACAAGGATGACTTCTGCAGGGCCTTTCTTTTAGAGTTTGAATCATAACACAATAAACACCTTCCCTTTGCCCAGGCCTTGGGTTCCATTTGGTTGTAATTCTGATGATTAAATCAATAGATAAATTGGTATTCCTTGACAGGCAGCCTTCTGCCAGCTTAGTTCTTAATCTTGTTAATACAGGCAGGTGCAAGGATAAAAAGTGAAATAGATATGTAAAGATTAGCTTTGCCATAAGGCAGGCTGGACAGACATCCCACAGGAGTAATTTAAATATCTAGATCAAGATACTTAACTGTGTATAAGTTTTTAATGCAATGTCTACAGGTACTCAAGCTTTTACCATAACAAGGAAATTCAGAATAATATGCATATTTTGTTGTGATGCCAGCCTAATTCTTTACTGAAAATACAAACCTGTTAGTTACACCCTTCTTCCTTCTCTTAGGTTTGTCATGACTGTCTTCTTTATTTAGTCAGTAGCCTGTGTGGAGACACACACACACACACACACACACACACACACACATCTGTGCTATAGGTATAGATATTAACTAGGTGGTGTCACGGTGTTGGTGGGAAGCCAGAATCACTGTGCATCCTTGCCACTTCAGCCCAGAGTGCCTCTTTGGCTCTGCCTTCTGGCTGGCCCTGCCTCTGTTCCTAGATTTTTAAATTCCTCCCCACCCCCCCCCAGTACTGACACTTGTGGAATGTTTGAGTTCTGTATGGGTGAGATATTAATATAAATGACATTGGATAGAGATATCTGTAAAATGCAAAGAACCGAGGTGGTTGTTAATAATTAATTGGAGTTACTTAAAATGGTTAAGGTCATATTAAAAAAAGTGTATAATCTTTAGATACTAAGATCTCCCTTTACTATGACTACTGCAATACTAGCCCTTGTAGAAATATTTGCGAAGGTGATTCTTCCTAGGGTACGTGCCATTTCTGTGGTGTTTGTCGTGCACTGGTAGGGCTGTTGCTGATCACGGCTCCAGAAACTTTGTCTCCCAATCAGTAGTGGGACATTCTTTTTAAAACCAGTGAAACTCTCTTCTGCAAATTCTTCTGTTAAGGAAACGCAGGGAAAGAGGCGAGTTCTAAGATGCAGGAATCGTTTTTAGTTTTCCATCATGTCATTAAAAATCAGGGCAGAGTATCTGAGTGAAGTGTAGGCATTTCTTGGAAGCAGTTTATTTTATGCTTGTTACTATGGTAGCTACGTGCCACCTTGCTGATTACTAGATTAACAGTGATTACTATTTATGTAGTCACTATTATCCCTAAAGATGTTGTACATTCTAACTTACACTCTGTCAACCACTAACCCTTTAAATGATGACATGTTACTCGATACATTACTTCAAAGAAACGCTAGTTTTCATATAACTGCAAAATGATACTTCAGTGTACCTATCGTCTTACAACAAAATACACTATGAATGATAATGATATTCTCTAAAATGTTGGTATCCCCCACGGAGGAATGGATCATGATATTTTAAAGGAAATAGAACCGATAACTTACTTCACACATGCTGCACTTTGTATGGGGTTATGTCTTCCCCTTTTTATGAACTCCTTTTAGTGGACGTTTTGAAGAAGATGGTGGAGGTGGATTATGTTGTCGTTATGTACAATTTTAACTGTGTAGGCTTAATGTGTTAGAATTTAATAAAAAATGTCCATGTGTGATGAGCCCATACAGTGACGACTAAATGTGAAATCTAGATAGGTTTCCTTCTGTTTTGTGTGCTGTGTATTTACAATGCAGTGACCAAAAGAGATTTCATGGGCCTATAAGATGGACATGATCTTCTACCAGCAGCGATCACAAGGGAGTTGAAACCTTTAGTGAAATTAATGTGATCTAATAGTATTTGTATAATGTGAAGCAATGTTCTTATTACCACAACTGATTCTGAGTTCTTCTTGCACAATAATCGGGTGGCCAATTAAAATTTGTGGCTTCTTTAATATTTTTCTTCTAAGTAGATCAAAATAACTGTTTTGCAAAGTGTAACTTACAGGTTTCAACCAAACAAAACTCTTCAGCACACGCCTGTAACAGTTTTCTGTAGGATGCTGTCTAAATTGACCATACCTAGGAGTTCACCTATGATTGTTTTGCATGTTCCCTCTCTGGGGTTATCTCAGCTGGTTTAATTAAATCCACAGGTTGTATTTTCCCTTTAGTTCACATTGTAAACTGGTTTTGGCATGAATTTTCAACGGCCTGCATCTGATTGGGGTCCTCAGACACTGCAGTAATAGAGATAACATTACTATCTGCAGGCATATGCTCCATCTGCACTTTTGAGACTAAAATAGCGAAGCTGATCTCATTATATCAAATTTTCCACCCTGGCAAGTAGCTGTTCAGAGGGGAGAGGCAGAAGGTCTAAAAGGATCTGGTCATGGTGTTTGGGTGTTTGTCATTTTGGATACTTAGTTATTAATTAGATATTTTTTTTTTTAACCCCTACCTACATGATGGAGATTGTAGCTATTTTGTCCCAAGTTTCTACGTGATCAGAAGCACATTCCTTGTTTCAGTTATGCTCTGTTTTGCAGGGTAGGCTTTGTGTCTCACCATAATTCCATTTGCTGCTAGTGATTTGCAGGATGCAAGGTCTGCCATAGAGCTGACCCCTATATCCTGCTTGAATCAGGTCCAAGATAATTCACATACTGCTTTGACTATTAAATTGACTGCAGCAATGTTTATGCATGGCATCCATCCATTTTCCTGTGCTGAGGATTGTACCTGGATCCTGTTTGATTCTCATGCTCTGCTATTTCCTCTGACCTGACAAGAGATGGAGAGATCCTATGGAAAGGAACAAAGGTGACCTCCCCCTTCCTGGGAAGATGCCCGTCTGATGGGTCATTTCACAGCAACATCTATATTTGCTGCAGGTTCACTGTAAGGCAAACTCTCTTCTAGGCCTGCCTTAACCCGATGATCAACAGTTTTGTGGGCTGTGGTATTTCTGCTGTAACTGGAGTCATTCCTAGGAGCATGTGGTTCTATCTCTAGGGATGGAAGGTGCAAATATGCAAAGGTGCCCCTTATGAGGTATGCACCGATGAGTTGGAAAGTAACAGGCAGATGCAACAAGGAGTTACAGAAAAGAATCAGGATTACTGAGGCACTAAACAGGTTTCTTGCTGGATCACTCCATTCTTATTTGCTATGACTGATTTTTTTCCCCTCCTCCTCCCCCTTGCCTAGCAAAACTCCATAGTTAATTCTTTCTGACGCTCCTTCTACACTGGATATTTCTATTTTAAATAAATTTCTTAAAATGATTCTGTTTCTAACTAAAAGACATTTTTTTTGTTGCTCTACATTGTTTACCTATCAATTGCTCCAAAGTGAATGAAGATGAAT